GGGGCTCCCGGGGAGCGTGGGCCTGCTGGGTGACCCTTCACTCAGACCGCCGTGTGGCCCCGTAGTCGGCGCGCGGCAGAGGCGGGGCCTGCGGCTGCGCTCTACTCCTCGGCCGCCTCAGCCACACGGAGACAGAAGGGAATGAGTCCCAACCGGCGGTGGGGTGCGCTAGACCCGCAAGGCCTGCAGATGGGTGCTCTCTCGGAAGGTTCTGGAGCATTCGCACGCGGTCCTGCTGCGCCGGTCTAATCCCCAGGCCCCTGGCCCCGGGCTAGCGGCAGTAGGGGCAGAGTCTGTTGGCTCATGCTGCCGTGGGGACAGGCTCTCACTCGAGAACGGACTGTTCCTGGGACAATCTGGAGCAGCTGGGCCTGACCAGCGTCCCCCACTCCCACTTCACTTCTGGGGCCCAGGCCCAAGGGACTGGAGGAGGTGTTGGTGGCTGCCCAAGGGGCCTTGACCAGGTGGCTGAACAAGAATTTTGGCAGAGGCGACCTCCCATCCATAGGACCACCGCCCCCCTTGCACACACCGCTACAGAGTGGTGTGGCCAAGCTGCGGCCACACTCATGAGCAATGACTAATGGCCGGCCTGGAGAGTGGGGGGCATGTCGTCAGGCTATCCAGGGGGTCAGGAACTCAAGCATGGGGGTGGGGGGGAGACAAGTGACCATACCCCTGGGGCATGGGCTCTCTGTATAATCATGCCTGGGAGTGGGGGGTGGACACACATCATGCCTGTAGGAGCTAAGCCACTGGGCCATACCTTCCGGGCCATGACATAGTATGTGGTCGTGCCAGAGGGCAGGGGTCGTGGGCAGACAGCATGCCTGCATAGGGTGGGGAGGCTGTAGAAACAGAGACCATGCCTCCTGGGGGTAGGGGTGGAGTGGCTGGTCACATGGACAAGGTCCTCAGGTCCCCACAAGGCCTCTTAGTAGGTACCTGCCTTCTTGGGGACCCCAACTCCAACTCACTAGCAACCCAGGGTGTTCACAGTCTTCCAGAGTGTGTGTGGGCGGTGGGGGCTAGTCCTGCATCCAATTCTGAAGGGAAGAGAGCTGTGTAGCCACTTTGCTATGACAAGTAGACCACCCCCCAAACCCAGGGTAAGGGGGGGGGGCAGGCCAGAAGAGACACATACACACAATTGTGTTCCCAAGCTCCCCCCTAAACCAGCCCTGTGCTGGACAGGCCTTCAGACACCTACTGGTCACAAGAAGCAACATTACACCCCAGGTTCTGGGGCCAAGGGCACCCCTCCAAGTGAGTGGGGTTGTGAGAAATAGTCACCAGGCTGGTCCACCTTCAGCACAGAGAGAGAACAGAGAGTCCGCAGTTACTAAGTAACCAGGCCACCAGCTGATAGCTGACGTGACAATCAGGGGAGCTCAGCCACCTGGGGTGTAGAATGTGGGTGCAGGGTGAATTAGGAAAGGGGGAGGGAATGGGGGGTGGGGGCAGGGAGAAACCTCTTAGGTGATGCTCTGGAAATATTGTTAACCCCACAGTCCTCAGCCAATGAGGGACCAGGGGAGGGCTTGCGAGCTAGGGGCAAAAATGCTTTCTGAGGAGCTGTAACCCCTGCTCTACTTTTGCCCCATTTGTCCCAGGCTTGGGTGCCCGCTGGTGCAAAATGGAACCTAAAGGGCTCTTTCTCTCTCTCCAAAGTGAGCACAGATTGGACTTCCTGAGTGTCTGTCGGTTAAAGTCCCATGCAAGCCCGTTTGTAAAGTCCTGTGGGAGAAGGCTGTCCATCCGCCCCAGTCCTCTGGAGAGAGACCAGATCAGGGGTTTATATTGACCTGCCAGTTACCAAGAGGAGCCGATACAGTGCCCGTGATTTCAACAACTTTTCTCACAGGGGTGGGGTCACTGCGGGCCAAGCCCGCCTCTCACCCCACTTGGGCTGAGGAGCAGATCCTGCCTGAGGTGGGCTGGTCTGAATAATCAGAGGAGCATGGACTGGGCCCTCCACTCAGGAGTTCCAGGTAAGCAGTGGCCCATTCCCTGCTAGTCACCAGTCAGAGCTCATTGGATACCAGCGGGCTCCTGAGGTGGACTGTTTTCTCAGAGCTCTTGCCACCACTCTCCCCACTACCCAGGGAGGAAGGTCCACAGGAGGGGAGGTTGAGCACGCCCCTGTTCCCTGAAGCTGCCACACTGGGCTCCCCGGGCCCCCCTGCTGGGTGTACAGGCCGGTCTGTTCACGGAGGCTGTGTGGCTGAACTTTGGCTGAGCTCCTAAGGAGACATGAGGAGGAAAGGGCTGGTGATTAGGATGAGGACCTGGGTCATGGACTTCAGGGACTCTGTGGGAACCCTGTGGGTCAGAAGCTGGGCGGGGCAACCACGCCAAGCTCTCAGGGAAGGTGGGCTTTCCTGCTGCTCTCCAGGCCAGACCACTCAGGGTGAGCCCTTTTGGAAAAGGGGGGGGGCAGGAAAAGTACTCCCCCCCGCACCAGGCAGTGGAGGCCCTGCTGTGTGTGAGAGGGCACTGAATCGGCCACCCCACCCCCGGCTCCTTAGAAGCGGGGACAGTGAGACTCCATCTCACACACTGTGGACATGTCATGGAGGGGACCCATCCTGAAGAAAGACATCATGCTTGGTAAAGCGGAAGGGCAGTGACAAGGAAGGCCCTCAATGAGATGGATGGACACAGTGGCTGCGATAAGGGCTTCACACACAAGGGCAATGGTGAGGATGGCAGGGGACTGGGCAGGGCTTCCTCCTGCGTGCACAGGGGTGTTTGCAAGTCAGAGCTGACGCAACTGCACCCCATGACGACAGGGCTGAAGGAAAGGAGGCTAGCACTGGAGGTCACACTTGCCTGGTTCATGAGCATTGGGATGAGGTATCAGGGGCTCCCCTCTCCAGGTCACGTGCTTCATGTCCCTTTCTCTGTCCCCACTGCTGTGAGTCAGCATGCCTGGGTGGCTAGTCCTAAACATAGCCTTCACACTTGGTCAGACGTGGTGATGTTCCTGGGGGACTAGGCATCCCGGGGCCACCAGCCTGGTGGAGGCAGTGTGGCGTTGGGCTGGCATGTGAGGCTGCTGTGGGCAGCGGGAGGCCGAGGAAGACAGGGGGGCCTGGACACTGAGCAGCAAGGGGCAGCCCGTCCTTCTGCCCTTGCCTGTGTTTTTTTGGGGGCCACCTGTCCCTGCCCTTTGGGACAGTGGGAGGATGGAGGAGGCTGCAGCTTGGGGTCCTCTGTCAGTGTGGCAGGTGGCTCAACAAGGCTGGCCAGTGTCTCGGGTCCTCCTGCATTTCCCCACAGCTAGCATGTCTCTCCTGGCCTGGGCTCCCCCAGCCACCAGTCCCTGCATGCACCTTCTTCCTGCTGAAGAGGCCTCCAGTGGCTTTGATGCTCCTGTCGGCTTGTCTGGTGAGCGGAGGCTGGCCAGAGGTGACGGGTGAGAGTGTCTGTCCGTCTTGGAGGCTCAGCTGGGAGGTAAAGGCTCAGTCTGGATGGGAGAGACTCTCAGTTGGCAGCCACATGTCCCCTGAAGCCTGCAGGTCTGGACAGCTGACACAGGAAGGCCAAGTGTTGCCCGCTGTGAGGACACAGGGCGCTGGAGGGGCACTGTCCCCAGAGGCCGGGTGACTAAGTTTGCCCTGCGTGCTCGGTGCCGCTGTCCTGGCTGGAAAGCACTGTCCCAGCAGGTGCCTGGGTCCGCAGCTGGCCCTCATACTGCTGCAGCTGAGACCAGAAGCCTGGGTTGGGCTCAACCACGGGGCGGGCGCGCTTCACCACCTGTGAGCAAGACACCAAGAGTTAGGCTAGAGGCCCCACTGGGCAGAGGCAATGGGGCTGCTCAGCGGCATTTGCAGCTACAAAGAGGAAGCCTCTCATTTTTGCATTTGCAACTATGAGATACTTCTGCTTGGATGGATACAAACATGTACAGCATCATCTAACATTCAGACCGTGGGTGTGCCTGAAAGTGGGGCCCCTTGTGGCTTTGGAAGTCCCCGCAGACCCCCAGGAACATGCGGGCGGGTGAGGGATAACTGTCCCAAACGGTTTCTGAGGATGTCAATCTCTACAGAAGCAGACTGCCTGGCTTTTCTCCCCGAGAGCCGCTGATGGGTTTTGAACCCGATATGTTGAGGTCAGCAGCCCGAAATGATGCACTAAATCCTTTGACTGATTGACTCGTTAATGAATTTGGCCCTTTAACCATTGCTGAGCATCTACCCGTTTCAGGTGGGCTTCAGGCATAAACTG